GTGTTTTTACACTCTAGAAAATAATTTCTACGACTTCACGTACGTGGTTTTGCATTTTGTTGATACGCGGTTTTGCACTTTAAACGACGATATGTATATATGCGCAGAGGTATGTATGTGGGTAGAGTATTTGAAATGAATGCTCTTGCAAACATAGCTCTAAAGTAAGCTCAATAAGAGTCAAAGAACAAAGTCAATCTTCATTTTGGACTCTTAAATTAGGTCATTATGAGCGTAAAGGCTCCGAGATAGGACTCTTTAAATACTTATTTATGGCTCCAAATGATTGCTGGGATGTACTCGAAAACCGTTGAGTATGGTTCAAAAAGTACTTCATTTGCAAATTCTACGATATTTTGTAATTTCAACAAAAACACCTCTGATATTGCGTTCAGTTTTAAGACATTTTTCAATTGAAACTTCTATAATTTAAGAAATTTTATTTGATATAATTAATCCCGACATTTAAGTTTTGTACAAAAGAAAACTAGTTTTAGCTTTATTTGTGAAAATTGTAGGTAAGCAAAAACTTGAATTTTAATCAAGATTTTAGCAATTCACAGATATCTGAATTATCGGCCACATCAAGGCACGATTGGCCGTCAGCATCTTTGATAGAAGGATCAGCATTAGCATTGAGTAAAATTCGAATACATTCGATATGACCACAACTGGCTGCATAATGTAAGGCCGTCTGCTGCTCTGAATCACGAAAATTAACATCTAATCCGTTTTCAATAAGATGTTTTAATATATCTACTGCATTACGGTCAGCTGCCCAATGTATCAGTCCCATTCCGTTTTCGTCAAGTATCTCCATAATTTCCGAAGAGAGAGCATTTTGAAGTTGTATAAGATTGCCTTCTTTAATATAATCGAAAGCATTTTTTTCATGTTCTTTTTGATCTGCTTCCTCCAGCCGCTGAGGAATAGAATGTACTACCCAGCCAGGTGAAGATTTCTGTTTATCGCCAAGTTTTTGCTTTGGCTGCCAAGTCGAGTCTAATTTTTGAACCTTTTCAATATATAAACGCTTTGCTTCTTCGCTAGGCATTTCTCCCAAATCATTCCATGCACACCATTTGCTGCGACTTTGCATATTAAATACACTAGGTTTCTGAGTATTGCAGCGCCCACAAGTTGCCTGCTTATATAAACCATAAATTTCTAAAAGATCGGTAGAGTCGATAGAGTTATGAATCTTTTGCAAATGTTCAGCTGCTTCGGAAAACACTTCATCAATGGGATCAATATCCATGTCACTGTCCGAAAAATCTGATGTTGACATAGTCAAATAATATTTTAGTCTTCTTTCGCCGGGTTAAGATTATTTACTTATGAATTTTTGTATGTTTAATGTCTTAAAATTTATATCAAGAATCGAGATAAATGTCTATGACTTCCGAATGTTTAGATAATTGCCCTCGAGCACGTGTTTTTGTTCACTTTCAATCTTCTCTATTGGCGTAATGTCATCGAATAAAACGAAACCGTAGCCACGTGAACAGCCGGTATTTTTATCGAATATTACGTTAGCGGAGACGACGCGTCCAAATTCCTTGAAATAAGCACGCAACTCCTGATGGCCCACCTAGATTCATGCATAAGATTTTTAGCTTTTAAAATTCAGACCGATTGTTATTCATTTTTAGTTACCGTCCACGGTAGATTTCCCACGAAAATTTTTTGCAGGCTTTTGCCCAATTTGTTTGCTGTGGCCATTTGCTTAAAACGGTGCTTATTGAATATAAAAACTCCACACTCTTGTTTATATTTGTTGCGTAAATCTTTGTCCAATTTTTTGCTAAGTAGAAATAATTTCAGCCTGCTTAAAAACAAGGCGCAGTGTGACAAATCAAACAGCTGTTTCGGGATTGTTCGAATTCGAAATTCGAATGTTCTGACCCAGGGCGAATTTTGTCAAGGTGGTGTTTAGCGTTGCCAAACAAATTTCGTTTGAAGCTAAAGCGAAGCGCACATTAGCGCGATTCCATCGTTGCGAATACGTTGCGAATTCGGCTGTTAACTTCGAATCCGCAAACGTGCGCACACTTGAGCGATTTTTTCGCGTCGATTTCCGATGTACAATTCACTCAATTTTCCCTTTATTTCGTGTATTTTCGCACTCGGCGTGCCCAAATCGTACAAAATACTATTATTACGAACGTTTTTATTAGTTTTTGTACATTACACGTTTTTTTTTCTTTGCCTTTATTGCTGTGACACCTTTCTTCTTCTTTGACGCCTTCAAAACGCTGCAAGCCGCGTTTCGAGCGCGTCAATAGAGAGGAACATTGAATGTTCGAAAAATTCGCAGCGACAGAATCGTGCAAGTATGCGCTAGCGCATTAAAATGTATGGGTAGCATTGTTGTAATTTTTGGGCTTGCGGATTCGCAACGACAGAATCGCGCCAATGTGCGCTTCGCTTAAATCGGTCGAAGAAAGAGCTAAATAATCTAATAATCGGTTCTTTCTCGTACGCAACGCGGTATCCCCCGGGTTCCCAAAACAGCCCAGAAATCAATGCCTTACTCGACAAAATGGGTAATAGAGAGCGAAAATTGGAACGTATTGAATCGCACGATTGAGAGAAATATTCTATGTATTCTATCATTCTTGTTTGAATCGTAACTGTCTTCTTCTTCCTGCCCGAAACAGCCTGGACTTTTATCTCCGGGTAAAAATGGATAAAGTGTCAAAGTGCATATCAGCTATTTTGTGTTTAAATGTCGCCTGCATTTACTTGGTGCTGTTAAGGAATAGTGAATGGCCTGTCGATGTATTTTCAATATTTATATACTTAAAATCAAATTTGTGAAACCATAATTCAATTACCAACTATGTATTTGCATTTAAGTGACAAAAACAAACACAACGTGAACTAGCTGTTTCTCAAATTCTGGGCACGAAATACTTCTGGACTACGTTCCATTTTTGTGAGCAAACTTTTCGCTTATTCTCTAATAACCGGATCCGGTCCGGATTGTTAGGGAAATAACCTTATAGTAGATAAAATGCATTGTTTTGCATTTTTTCCACATAAAGTATTTTCGAAATTTTTTTTGTATGGAAAAGACTGCGTGAAAAAAATTGCCAAAAATCAACGGTAATGCGTAGCTACTTAGAGAAGTATTGATTGAGCTACAAATCTGCATACTCACAAAAATTCTACAAATTCTGATTAAAAGGTTGAAAATTTACATGAAAATTTGCTGAATTTTCGAGAGTATTGCACAAAGTTTAGAAATTATATTTTTATGTCTTTTGTTGTGGAATAAACCATATTTTTATAAAAAGTTGTAGAAAAAATATTACAATAAAAATGTTGCATATTTATATTTGTTGATGAAATATTAGTGGTGTTTATTTAAACAGATAAATTTGCCTTTCGCATATACGTATATTTTTATCCACTGCTTTATATAAACGAGAAAAAAAGAATCTTTGTTGCCCCTTATCGAGACTAGAAAGAAGAAAATAAAATTATAGTTTAAAAAAACTAAAAACTCGCTTTTATTACAATGTGAACTAGTAACATCCATCAAAATATCGATAACAAGTTCGTTAAAAATATCAATAGAAAAATCGATAACAAAATCGAAAACCGAAAAAAAACGATAATAAAATCGATAAAATATCATTAAGAAAATCTATAAAAATATCGATAAAAATAACGACAGCAGTATCGATAACAAGTACGATAAAAATATCGATATCGGTAAATTATATCTATAAAAATATCGATAACAAAATTGATAAAAATATCGTTAACAAACCCGATAAAAAATATCGATTATTATATCGATAAGTTCCGAGAATCCCGAAAATCTCTAAAATCCTGAAATAGTTACCAGATTTAGTCTATGTCTATATCTATATCCCTTTCTCTATAATTATGTACCTTTATTTTAATCTTTCTTCCTCTATCTTCGTCTTTACTTTTATCGGTATCCTCATCCTCATCTTTTTTTTAATATTTATATTTTTTTTTTACTTTTATGTTTATCATTTTCTTCATCTTCACATTCCCTTTCATCGTCTTATATAAAAGAGTGTTTAAATTTACCCCAATCTTAATTTTTGCATTTACCTTTACGCATCTTTGTTTTTGTTTTTATTTTTATCTTGCCTTTATCCTTTTCTTTATCCCAAGGACATCGAAAAAATAAATTCATGTAAAAAGCACAGTGGCTTTGTAAGGGTGCAAAATGATATGTTTTCTAGTCGAATAATTTTTGTATCTCCTGGCGATTAGCAGTCGTAGAACAGTTTTTAATTGGTCTGACAGGGCGTATGATGAACATTAAATTATTAAGGTCGGTATTATGCAGACAAACTTTTGTTTGCCAAATTAAATGGCGGCTGCTTAGTTTGCTCGGAGGTGGTTATGTCGAGTTTGGCACAGGGTTGCACGTTCATTATGGTGTTCATGGCTATTGCCAACACGAAATGAGAATTAATATATTTTTGATGATATCCTATAGACAATTAACTCTGCCCTAATCTTTGAAGCTCCTACAGCATAAATTCAGTTATCTGCCTTTCGGTATCACGGGAATTTTTGTGTATAGCAACAATTGTCTAAAATTTTTGTATATGACAACACCGAATTTGCTGCAGTTTGACCAAACAAAATTAGTTTGCTGTGAGAGTCGCCAAACTCGCTCTCTCCGAGTTTGCTGCAACAACAATTGCACGCAGTTTGCCAAACAAAATTTCTGCATAACACCGACCTAAATTGAACTTTTATAACAAATTCTTTTCCTCCTTTAAAAAAGCCTTTCGTAATATTAAATAAACAAAACAAAGTGTTTTAGTGTTTGACATGTCCTCTCGGGTTGATTAAGGAACTATTGTGGAAGTATTAATTAAAAAATTTTAAAAATATGCTTGAAATTATACAGGGTGTCCTAGACCAACCACCCGTCCCTCCCTCTAAAATGGTGGGAAATGTTTTTTATTGAAAACTGCAAAAATTTTACCACCTATCCCTACTAAATCGGGGATCCTCTATCTTTTGGTGGTATTACCGACAGATTCGGATTCTTCGCATTAATATACATACGTTTTGTCGGAAACTTTTTCCGGTTTAAACTGACCGGAAGTCCATTTTTTTAAATAAGACATGTATGTTTTTACTACAGATTCAGATTCTGTGGACAAAAATACGCAACTTTTGTTTGCATCTTTTTTCTCAGAAAAACCTTTTTCAACACTTCAACAGGAGTCCAGGACGAGTTAAAGTTCTAAGATCATTTAGAGGTTGAAAAAGATACTTCCAAGAAAAAAGTTTCAAATAAAAGTTGCGTACTTTTGTCCGCAAAATCAGAATCATGTGTAATTAAAAAAATGGACTTCCGGTCAGTTTAACCCACTTTCGGTCCAAAATTTGAATTGTTTACATTGACTATGTTAACAATTTTTATAAAACAGTTTCGTTACATGAAAAAATGATGAACCATTATCCATTAGTGATCGTTAAGTTAATATAAAAAGCCCTACATCTCTGAATAAAGCGTTAAGGCGGAAAAAGTGTCACTACCTAGTTCTTTAAACCCCATACACTTTTTTGCTGCACTTTTGCTACACGATAGTATTCCATCTTCCGATATGTACATATGTATTTATTGCATGTCACAATAATTCACTTTCTTACCGGGTCCAACACAGTCTGGATCTGAGAATCACAGCATCAGTGACCGAATCGAAATTTTATTTTGAGATGATGGCGACTTGTTCTAGGAGAGAAAACCCTATAAGTTTATTTCATTCGCTTAGAAACGAGCAATCTTTCACTTTCGACTTCAATAGCACAACGGTAATACAGACCCTATCTTCATAATATTTTTTTTTCGTCTTAACGAAATAGTTAAAGAATATCTTAGACTATCTTAGAATTCCAATTTGTTTAACAGTCATTTTGTTGTGTGGCAATCATTTAATGCTTTAAATTTAAATTTTAAATTAGAACTTCATTAAGTAATTAACGACCAAAACGAAAGAAATTAAGCTCGACTTTTCTATATAAAGATTACGATATGCCACAATTTTCAGCTCGGAATAGACGACTGCAATGCCTGCCTCAATCGAAACTAGTATTCGTAAAAATCTTAAATTTGAATTGCGGTCCATAAAGAAAACCATAGCAGAAATATTCATTGTCATTATATGTTTCTTAATTGTCGTGTTATTTCCTCCAACTCCCACTGTACCTCAAGATCTGACCGATGATGAACTGAGAAAACTTGTTATTCAAGATGAACTAAATTTGGATAATATTGAAAATTTTAAGTGAGTAGGTTAATTATTTTATATACATATGTACACACATACATACATATTTTTTACGTTTCGTTGAATTTTGAAGTTGCAACTAAATTAGTTAACATACTTTTTCAAACCAAAGCAAGTAATTTTTAAAACACTAAACATATGTACATTAAAAAAATTACATAAATGTTCCAACGAATTGATCATCTTTTTTTGAAGTCGTTTAAAAAACACACCCTCTTCAAGATAATCTTCACATTTTAGACATTTCAAATAACCAAAATACCGACAGAGCTAAATTTTCGTGGAGACCTTTGGTACACTATAGGAAATAAAGTGTCAAAAGTCCCCATCGATCCCATGTGTTTTAAAAAAGTGATTCGGGGTCAAAGGTCACATAAATTGCTTTTTCGCATTTGTCAACCAAACGGTACGGTTTATCATAAAAATATGTGAGACGAAAGTGTAGATGATATAATTAATAAAAACTGTTATAACATTTTTCTTCCTAAGGATTACCATTTCTGGGATATAGCGATTCAAATTTGTAGTAAAAGGTGTGTATTCCATAATATGCAAATCATAAATTTGTATAGAAACTTTTTGTATGTACATATCTCTACTTAAGTGTTCATAACTTCTACATTTATTATTCAATTCAGATGAGTATGACCTTTTTGCATTTACGAATGATCATGCTTTGACGTGCAAGAATCCAAATGTTAACAGCTAATAAAAACATAACATGGTAAAACCATTAAGAGGCAGTCTAACGTTTACCATCAATATAATTTAAAAATTGAAAACTCAAACTCACACACACACATTCTCATTATCAATCCCAAACAACAACAATTGTGAACAATTTCTTTTTTTATTTTCTATTTTATATGAATGCTTACAAACGTCAGAAAAAAAAATCATGCCCGCCGACGAATTGAGAGAATGAATTTAACTTGTAATGCTTTTATCATGGATAACAGCATGATGCAATAATGAAAGGTGTTATACGTTGGCAACTTCTCGCTCTAATCCGCCATCTTGAACTACCTTAGGAGAAACTGTGTTGTTTCTTTGCTAATTTCACTGAACATTTCCCAATATATTAGAAAAAAATTCTAAACAAGCTACATTGATTCAATTTTCGTTGTTCGTTTTGTTCTTATTCGCTGACATTTGTTTTCTAATTGCTTGAAATTTGGTAAGTACTGTAATAAAACCGAATTATTTTACAAATTAATTATAATTTTGCATTTATTAGGTAATTTCCTTAGTGTTTTCCTGGCCGACCTGTGCTGGTATTGTAATTAAGAGCTAATACACGTAAGTTACAACATATTATTTTGACTTCATTGATGAACCATTCCATTTGCAGCATTCTCTGGTGAACTGCAGCTGCGGCCGAATTTGATTGTGTGCATCATCCTGCAGATATTTTGAAGTAAGTTGGAACCAGCTCTTTGTTATTTCAAAACCTAATGAACCATTTATTCGCAGATTTTGTGGACGCTTCTGTTGTGCTGCGTTCCTGCTCCGCCCGTGTTTTATAGTGTTGCGTCCCTGTTGCGCCTTTGCATTAGTGTGTGCGTTGTGCTTTAGACACGTTGAAGTAAGTTGAAACCAGGTTTTTGTTTGTTAAAAACCTAAAAAGCCATTCATTTGCAGATTGTTTGTATGCTTCTGCTGTGCTGCGTTACTGCTTCACCCGTGTATTAAATTGCAGCGTTCCTGTTAATATAAGCATCGTCGTTTAAGTACAAAACCGCGTAACTGACATTTGCTGCTAAAAATTGGATTTGCTCACACAAGTTCTTGGCTCAATCCTTATCCATTCTTCCTGATACATACTAGCCAAAAATGCGATTGCTTTTTAAAAAAAGATAAAAAAATCAAAGGTAATTTTTAGCCACTTCAAACTTGCATATAATAAGACTAAAATTGAAGGGGCTATAAAACTGAGTGCTCAAAAAAATTCTAAGACTTCTGAGAAAAAAATGTGAATTTTGGGTGAAAATTTGTTGTATTTTTTGTAGTTTTCTACGAAGTTTTAAAATTCGGTTCTTATGGGTTTTGTTAGAAATTGAACTTTATTTTTATTGTAAATTCTTAGAAATAAATTAACATGAGAGGGAAATAATATCACTTTGAAAAGGGTTGCTATTGATATGACCGATACTGTATGTATATAATAAATTTTGTACAATTAAAAATCAAAGTGGATTTACTAAAATGAACACAACGTATTAATTATAAATTCTGAAATATATTGTTAATTTCAAAAACAAATAAATAATTTGGATGTACGTGAACTTGGGTAATGTATGTATAATTGTTTATATGATTCCTCAAAGTATCCCTTATATAACACTGTGGAACACAACAAAACCTTAGTGCGAATATATCAGGTTTGATAGCTGTTGGCATACCAATAATGCCTCATACTCAGATTTACTAGATCAATTCGTGTTCTCCGAGAAAAAAATTTTCACGATCCAAAAATCTGAAAAATCTTTTTTCTCCAAATTTTGAACATTTATCGTTTTTGGCCTATATTTTATGGCAAATACCATACAAAGCAAATATAGGCCAAAAAACGAAGAATTTTAAAAATTTTTAGAAAAGAATTTGGCCGCTATATTCAGATTTTTGAATCGTGACATTTTTTTTCTCGAGAACACGAATTGATCTAGTAAAACTGAGCATGAGGCATTATTGGTATGGTCAACAGCTATGAAACCTGATATATGCGCACAAGAAGCCCATATGAAAGAGGGGGACAAAAGATCACACGTAAATTAATTCCTCTATTTGGCCTGTACAATGTAAGGGAAACATTTCAAATTCACAAGGGATAATTTTCTTAGTGATGCGGCTTATATAAGGAGTAATATATGCCATACTGTTCTAGCTGGGTATTCATCAGCTCAAAAATTTTAAGCATATTATCATATTCCTGTGAATAAAAACACGGCTTATTATATTATTTTAATTATCTACAACTTTATGAGACTACCAAGCCATATGTATACCTATTCAGATAATCGGAACGCTGTTGAGAAGGCATAAAATTTAGTACTTTTTCAACTAAAGGGCTTTTTTTCTTCCCGTTTTTCTTGTACTTCCAAAATACAATATTGACCTAAGGTAGTTCGATTTCGAGCTGTCACAACGTACAACACCTTTCATTATTGCATCATGGGATAACAGGTTCTTTCATGTTGATACGTTTACCGAAAGTAACTTTTTTCAAATATTTTTTTTTTTTAATTATGCAAAATTGGCCATGAATCAATGATTAGCTGCTAAACTACTAATCTGGTTGAAAAATATCGTTTACGTAGAAGATAGCTTCACTACCAGAGTTGCCACTGACGAAAAAAAATACTTACCATCCACTTGAGAAAAATCTACCTTATCTGGAATATATCTACCAATAAATTTTTTTTAGTTATTTTAATAAAAATTATAGCTTTGTTATTTTTTTATTTATTTTAATTAAAGATATATGGCCTTATTCATAAAAAATAAAGTAGGTTTAAAGAGCTTTATAAAGTGACGTTTTCATACATTTTTCAGTTTATAAACGTTTTTTAATGCTACTTTATTTTTTATGAATAAGGCCAATAGTTTTTTATTTTTTTAGTTATTTCAATAAGAACTAAAATTGTTTTTAAGAACCTTTTTATTTAACTAATTGTACGGTATTTGAGTCATATTTTTGGCATTTTCGCAGTTTCCTTCAAAGCGGAAGTGATAAAACTAAAGGCAACAACGAAACTTCATACATAATTTGAAAAACTTCAACTCGAGTTATTATAGACAAATACAGTGACTCAAAAAAGCACTTGGTGATTTTTTTTATTATTCGCAATGTTTTTCAAGTAACAATTTTTTGTTGCTTTAACTAAATCCATAAAAATTAAGGATTCAAACTATATACAACATTTAGAAAAATTCAAAAAAAATTCGTCCAAATTTCGAATTTTTTACTCTGAATTTTTGGAAACGGAAGATACCGAGTTTTAAAGCAAATAAATTGAGTATAGCTCACAATGTGGTTCCCGTTGATTTTTTTTTAATTTTTTGCCTCCAGTCTTTTGTGTTTGTTTATTTAACAATTTCTATTGATAAAAAATAGCGTTGATTAAATTTTTTTGCGAACAATTTTAGTGCTTCACTACATACCTGTAAATTTTTTTTTTATATTTAAATAATCATTTAAAATATTGGGGCAATCAAAAGCTCCTCGCNCAGTTCGGTAGGAATGGATAACAAATGGCGTTGATTTAATTTTTTTTTGCGAATAATTATAGTGCTTCACTATGCGTATGCAAGTATATAAAAAGTATGCAGAGAAATTTATAATATAAATATAACTACGAAAAATAAACCGGTAACGAAAAGTTCAACAAAAATCTACCAAAATGAGAAAAAATTTACCTTTTTACCAACCCAGATTTTTTCCACCAATTTTGGTAAAAATTTACCAAAGTGGCAACCCTGTTCACTACTGTAAAAAGAAATTTAAGATTCGGGAGCTATATAAAAAAAAAGTATGCAATTAAGTGAGTGCACTTTTTCACATATCTATAAACCGCTGTTGTGTAGTGGTAAGCAGTGCGCGCTTCCACTCTGCAACGCCAGTGTTCAAATCCTGGTCAAAGCAACATCTCAAAAAGTATAGAAAAAAGGTTTTTTTCTTAACAGCGGTCGTCCCTCGGCAGGCAATGGCAAACCTCCGAGTGTATTTCTGCCATGAAAAACAGCTTCTCATAAAAATACAATCACCGTTCGGAGTCGGCGTAAAATTGTAGGTCCCTCCGCTTTGTGTGACAATATCAAGGCGCACGCCACACGTTGGAGGAGAAGCTCGGCCAAACACTAACATATGTGTAAGCGCCAATCTATTATTATTATTATTAATTCTTAGGAAGCAAAATGTCATAAGAATTTTATAAATAATTATATGATCTACACTTTCGTCTCACATATTTTTATGATAAACCGTACTGTTTGGCTAAAAAATGCGAAAAGGCTATTTATGTGACCCTTGACCCCGAATAACTTTTTTTGGCACACATGGGATCGATGGGGACTTTTGACACTTTATTTCTCCACCAAAATTTAGCTCTGTCGGAATTTTTGTTATTTGACCACTTGTTTTATGACTAATTTGACCGGACTATTTTCACAAGTTTGTGATAAAAAAGCATTTGCGAAATTCGTTACTTTATAATTTAAAATGCTTTATACATTCATAAAGGCATTTATTGGCTGCATCTGGAAAATCAGTTCCATCAAATCTTATGTATACCCCAGAAGATACGGTGTCTGACGATATAATCAAGGGTGTTATACAAAGCCTATCATTATCGGAAGGAAAGGCATTCAAGAATGAAAATACTATGATGAACAGATTAGATGGCAATATATCGTTAGCAGCTGTTGAATTTGCTTTTACAACGAAAGATTGCCTTAATGTTACCCTACATTTCCCGAGTGAGTTTCGTACATTAGAACCAAACCATGAAGGTCAGAAATTGTGGGCAACGCGCTGTAGCGGTGTACTTGATAAGACCGCAAGCGAAAAGGGAAATATTACAGAGCATGATTTGTATATGCGGGAAGGTTTCCTTCAATTACAACACCACATTTTCCTTCAATGGTTAGAAAAGCAGCACACAAAAGATATAAGTACTTTTCGGGTTTCAATGCGAGCGTTTCAACAAAATACCAAATCGAAAATGTGTTCCACAACAGCCGAATCAAATTTGTTAATGCTTCTATACAGCTTTACATTCTTTTTGCCTTTTTTAAATCTGCTTTGGGTAAGGAAATATATTTATATGTATGTATGTATTTATTTTAATGACTAAATTATATATATTCAAGACATATGGACGCGAGCGAGAAGAGAATATATTAGCTCATCACTGGAGATATGGCTTTGACTATGCCAAATATTGGATGGGCAATGCGATTGTGTCTTTCATTCATTTGTTGCTCCTGGATGTAATCATAGTGATTTTGGTCTTAGTAAGTGCTTTCCTTTGTCACACTTAGGAAAAAAAAAAATTATCCTAAATTTCTGACACTATTCATGAACTATAACATTTTGTTTTCTTATCTATCTACATACATAAATATTTTCGATTTCAACGGTCACCTAAATTTTTTTTTAATGTTCGCAACGAAATGCGCAAGGAATAAATGCATATTTTTTTATAAAATTGCTTGTAATGAATTCCTTTCGAAAATGTCGAAAGTAGTGCCACGAATTCTTCAAAATTATTACACATTTTCCGACAGCTTAAGAAAAATATCCGATTAATTAAACTGGTTGACAGCAAAAATGTTCTATGGATGCCACTATCCAATTCCTATATAGAATTGCTCAAAAATACCAAGCATCCGCATTCGCAATATCCCTAATACATACATAACTATAGTATAACGCATTTACTTACATACATACATACATACATACGTATTGTAGCTCCCTATGAATACTAATATGATATTTATTTTTCACTTAATAGATTCCCCTCGAGGGAAAATTCATTGGTTCTCCACTCCGGCTAGTTATCTTCCTAATAATATACAACATCTCGCTGTTGATTTCTGTCGTATTTTTGGTATCAGTTTCGAATAAGGCTCGGCATGCTGTATTGTTTGGTGCCGCAATCTGGCTAATTATGTTTTCCCTATTCTCGCTTTTAGTGGAACATTACAAAAGTATGACTCCGACATTGGCCATTTGTTTCATGGCATTTTTCAATAATGGTTTTGCATATGCAATGCGAGAATTGCACGAAGGAGATGATACTTTATATCCTATTATCACTACTGTTGGATGCTGCCTTTTGTATTGGATACTAATATCGTTAGCTGAGTATTTTAATCCAGGTCTATATATAAAGACTCTACCCTTTAGTTTATGTTGGTCTGGCCACTGTCTTACCACAATGAATAAACCAGCCCGGAAGTTAAGAGGCAAAAAACTAGAATTTTTCGTATTTGATAAAGCAAGAGTTTGGGAAAACTTTGAATTTGGAAACATAAGCTCTGTCGAAGTGATTCGCCTAAAAAATGTCCATACACAATTTAGTTCGAGAAGAAGGCAGCTTAAAAATATCACTATGCCTATTTATGCCAATGAGATCACAGTCATACTGGGACCACATTGCTCTGGTAAAACAACGATTATCGAAATACTGGCAGGATGGAACCGACCACCGCTGGGCCATGTTCAAATACGCAATGAAGATTTGTATGAACATTGGGATAAGTATCGCCATCAGATTGACGTCTGCATGCCAAATAATGCATTATTCGATTTACTTACTGTCGAGGAGACATTAATTTACTATATGCGTATAAAATCTATGGAAATGGATGATCAAATAATCAATATGGAATTGGACGAATTTTTCGAGTCCGTCAAAACAGCTAAAATACAACGAAGTACCTTGGTGAAGAAACTAACATACAGTCAAAAACGTTTGCTTAGTTTGGGCTGTGTACTAGCTGGTGGAACGAAAATCATCCTACTTGATGAACCTACACTACATATGAAAGGCAAAGAGCAACGCTTGTTCTGGCACATTTTACATAAAGAAAAGACTGGTCGCGCTATTGTAATGACTACTTTCGATGTAACCGAAGCCGATGCTGTTGGTGATCGAATAGCCTTGCTCGGCGAAGGCACTTTACAGTCGTATGGTACGCCATTTTTTCTCAAAAGCAAATTTGGTGTAGGCTGCGATTTGGTAAGATTTAAACAAAAATTCCTTTTATACTATAAATACAAACATGTTTTTTAGATATTTAGTCTGTTCTAATAGATCTTCAGTGCAAAATATCCAGCAGCAGCTTGCCGGAGAGTAACGAGCGATTTTCTCTCAAATTGAAAAACATAAAAAAAGTTCGCGAACGCAAAATTATAAAAAAAAACTTGCAAGTTTTAGGTACAGCTGTTCGCAATTTCGTTTACACATCAAAGCATAAAACAGAATACTTGAAAAAAATAGGGGTATTCACACCCATTTCGGTAGTTTTGGTAAACTGCTATTAGCTTCTTCTTCTTATTGAGTTGAATACTTTCAGAGCTGGAGCGTCGGTGTAGATTGGAACGACAGGCCAAGCCAGCGGAGCCGCTGTATTTTAATACGCTGCACTATATCCATGTCGTTATAAAGCTCATACAGCTCATTGTTCCATCGTCTGCGGTACTCGCCGTCGCCAACGCGTAAAGGCCCGTAAATCTTCCACAAAATCTTTCTCTCAAACACTCCAAGAGCCGCCTCATCGGATGTTGACATTGTCCATGCTTCTGCGCCATATACCAGCACGGGCATGATGAGTGACTTATAGAGCGTGGTTTTCGTACGTCGAGAGAGGACTTTACTCCTGAATTGCCTACTCAGTCCAAAGTAGCACTTGTTGGCAAGAGTNGTTAATGCTGGCTCCCAAGTAAACGAAATTCTCTACTTTCTCGAAATTAATNACTCAGTCCAAAGTAGCACTTGTTGGCAAGAGTAATTCTGCGTTGGATTTTCATGCTGACATTATTGTTGGTGTTAATGCTGGTTCCCAAGTAAACGAAATTCTCTACTTTCTCGAAATTGTAACTGTCAACAGTGACGTGGGTGCCAAGGCGCGAATGTGCTGACTGTTTGTTTGATGACAGGAGATACTTCGTCTTGTCCTCGTTTACCACCAGACCCATGCGCTTTGCTTCCCTATCCAACTTGGAAAAGGCAGAACAGACTTCGCGGTTTTTGTTACCGATGATGTCGATGTCATCGGCATAAGCCAGCAATTGCACGCTCTTGTAGTAAATTGTTGCTGAGCGGTTCGGTTCTGCAGCTCTTATTATCTTCTCCAACATCAGAAGAAGTCACATGAAAGAGAGTCGCCCTGTCTGAAGCCCCGTTTGGTGGCGAACGGCTCGGAGAGGTCTTTCCCAATTCTGACAGAGCTGGTGGTATTGCTAAACGTCATTTTACACAGCCGTATCAGTTTGGCGGGGATGCCAAATTCAGACATAGCGGCATATAGGCAACTCCTTTTAGTACTGTCGATAAATATGTGGTGAGTGTCGATTCTTTCCTCGCGGGTCTTTTCCAAGATTTGGCGTATTGTGAATACCTGGTCTATGGTGGATTTTCCAGTTCATTCAGGTTTCAGTCTTTCACACAATACGCTCGACAAGACCCGCTTCAGTCTTTCACACAATACGCTCGATAAGACCTTGTAACCTATGCTTAGAAGGCTGATCCCGCGGTAGTTGGCGCGAATGGCGGGGTCACCTTTCTTGTGGATTGGGCAGAGCACACTTAAAATCCAGTCGTCGGGCATGCGTTCATCTGACCATGTTCTACACAAGAGTTGATGCATGCACCTTATCAACTCCTCGCCACCGTACTTGAATAGCTCAGCTGACTGGCTGTCAGCTCCAGCAGCTTTTTTGTTTTTCAGCCGCGTTATTGCTATTCGTACCTCGTCATAGTCAGGCGGAGGAACATCGACTCCGTCATCATCGACTGGGGGCTCTCCACAACTTTCCGTGCTACTACCATTCAGTAGCGTGCAAAAGTGTTACCTCCATAATTTAAGTACGTTCTGAACATCGGTAACTAGGTCGCCATTGTTGTTCTTACAGGAGTACGCCCTTGTCTTGAAACCGTCCGTAAGTTGCCTAATTCTCTGGTAAAATTTTCGGGTATTTTTCCTGTCGGCCAGCATTTCAAGCTCTGCGCACTCACGTATTTCGGCCTCCCTCTTCTTATTGCGGCAAATACGTCTCGCTTCCCTCTTCAGATCCCTATAGCGGTCCCACATAGCGCGCGTTGCGCCCGATCGCAGCGTGGCCCTGTAGGCGGCATCTTTTTTCTCTGCAGCTTCCTGACACTCCTCATCGTACCAGTTGTTCTTTCGGGCTCGCTGAAATCCGACTACTTCTTCGGCGGCGGTACTTAATGAGCGGGAAATGTGGTTCCACTGCTCGCATATGTCGGTTTGTTTAAGAGTACTTTCTGAGAGTCAAGCAGCGAAAGCATTGGCTGTCTGTTGTGATTGCAGCTTTTCCCACAGAGGCGGGTGCGTATCTTGGCTGCAACAAGATAGTGGTCCGAGTCGATGTTTGGGCCTCGGAGTGTACGTACGTCCAAAACAATGGAAGCATGCCTTTCGGCTATCACAACATGGTCAATTTGGCTTCTCGTTTTTCTATACGGAGACAGCGTGATGAATCTTTTTATGCTTGAACCTAGTACTGCATACTACTAAATGTATTTGCCAATCTTAATAGCCGGGAACGGTACAGCCAACTTGAATCACGAAAAGATTTACTTTAATTAAATATTAACGTTTTAATATATCGTTGTTTAAAGTGAAAAACCGCGTATAAACAAAATGCAAAACTGCGTATGTGAGGTTGCATAAATTATTTTCTAGAGATAAAAAATACTTATATTTCAAAATGGTTCTCATTTTTCATAAAGCAATCGCATTTCTGGCCATTATATTTCAGGACGAATGGATAAGACTTGAGCTAAAAGCTTGTGTGAACAAATCCAATTTTTGGCAAACTTGTCAGTTACGCGGTTTTGTACTTTAAACGACGATATGTACATCATATGTATAGTTACTAATAGTTAGCTGTTGTATAATAAATTAGTAATTTTCTTGCCAAAGGGTTATAATATAGTACGGAGACTATTTTTCTGACATATATTATTGCATACAGCCGGACAAAATAACTTTCCAAGTTTATAGGGCATGATAATAGCTCTGTATACATACATATATGTATGGTAAACTGTAGGCTTTTTAATACCTTCAAATAAAAAGGCTACAGGAAAAATCGTGTTTGCGGTTTTTTTCAGGGTACCGAAAAAAAAATTCACACTCCTAATAAACTCTCCTACTTGGAACAAATTGAACTTTTTCGGCCTTTACATCGTGATACGGTCTAATATGCATACTATAAAACTTATAAACTACGAAAATCTATAAAAATTAACGAACTGTTTTCATCTCGTAGATTATAGTTAAGTCGCCAAATACATCTACCGAAGCAATTACCGAATTGATAGGACAATTTATACCTGGAATTATGCCTGAAAATGAAATTGGAGAACTGGTCTACTATAAGCTGCCAATTAATATGCGCCCTAAATTTCAAAATATGTTGATACACTTGGAAAAGGAACCACTTAATTTGGGCATAGTTGATTTGCGAGTCCTTAGCAGTGAACTGGCTGAAGTTTACATGACCATGGGCACAAAAGACACCAAACAAATCATTTTAAATGACAGTTCGTATTACACAAAATGAGGAGTAGAATGAAATGACAATTCATAATTTAATTTATATTTTCTTTTACTTTAAGGACAACTTATTCATAAATTTGTTTCTCGCAAAAACCTCGGTCGTCAACAAATATATGCTTTGTTGAACAAAAAGCTCATACATCAAGCACCTAATTTCATTCCGCTTATCACGATTGGTGTGTCATTCCTTTTTATTCTTTTAATAGCAATAATGGCTCAACATTGTTTACATATACCACCAACGCGTTATAATCCCATCGATTTGGGTGTTACGAAAGAGCTAAATTTAGAAAACATGAAAGACTGCAAACATATTCAAATAAGAAGCGTTGTGAAAAGTAAAAAGTTTGGCGAGAACTCGATGAAATTCGATGAAAATTCCCTTCACTGTTCGAAAGCAAACTATGAGAAATACTTAAAAGAATCGAAAAGTATATCAGACAAGTTTGGTGCAATAGACTTCGATGGCGATAAATATATATGTTGGTTTAATCAACGGATATTTCATTCAGCTCCATTAGTTCTCAATTTAATGCATAACATTTATCTTGCGTAAGTTGGTTATATGCGGCCCAATATAACATAACAATTTTGTTTTTAAATTAAAGCTTTCCAATGGACTTTTATTTGATACCCAAACTGTGAAAACTTTAAAAAGTGCATACATTGTTATAAATACATAGTACATATCAAAGCAACGCAATATTTTCTGCAATCAAATTGTTTTGGATTGCAATATCTTGTAATCTCTTAATGTATATACTATTATATAATTTCAAAACTTGCATTAAATTGATTTCGTAGAATTTTCATTTACAAATCATATTATTTAATTAAATTCAAATATTTATATTTTTGTTTAGCAAGACAATAACCGATGAAAAATCCATAACTATCATACAGAATCATCCGAAACCTACTCCATTACGTGCTAAAATTCATTTGCTTGATCAAGAGAAGACTCATTTGCTATTACCGATGGTATTGGGTGTTGCTATACCCATCTCGATTTCATGCTTTATCGTACCGCTGGTGGAGGAACGCAAATATCACTTGTTGATGTTACAAAAAATTGCCGGTGTCAGTATGGCGCGCTATTGGTGTGTTAACTTTTTGTGGGATTACGCAACGTTCTTTTCGCATACTATCGTTTATACAATTATCCTAGCGTTAGCGCCCATTGAAGGATATTCATTCTCAGACAAAATGTGTACGTTTTTATGTACTTATGTACGTGTTATGTATACATTTCGCTAGTTTGCTTAAAGGGATTTCATAACAATTCTTCTAAAAAAAATTTAATCAAAATACAACCGTTAAATTAGAGATCCCAAGACATTTTTAGAATATCTAAAAATACATATCGTCACCCTCATGTCAGAAGCATGAATGTGCAAATTTATCAGTTCTGAGTTATTGGGCTGAATTGATTAAACCTTGGATGTTCTATGTTATACCAAAGCCCAGAATACCATGCGTACACGGAAAGCAGATATTTTACAATTTCAATTGAAGAATTTTAGAGTTAAAGGCCAAATAACGTAGCAAAATACCTCAGAGCTGATTATAAAATTAAATAGATACCTACGGTTATGGTTATGGCTCTGGTGTTATATATGTTTTATGTGTTTTTAGTTTTTCTCTCTGACGTCAGGATTTTTTAAAAGGACTTTGTAGTTTCAATTTGAAACTTTCAAAGATATCATTAATTCCAAAAATTATTTAAAAAATTCATTCCAATGTAGAAAAAGAGTATTGACACCAAATGCAAGAGAAAATTCTATATAATTAAAAAATAAAAATAAAATTGAACGAATGGGTATCGGAAATGTCCCTTTAACTAGTGTTATTTTTTTAAGCGAGTTGAGTTAGAACGATGAAATTCGAGGTTGTGGTCGAGTGCATATTAGTCATTAACATATAATTTTTTCGAAAATAATTACTGTACATTTTCAAGGACATTAAATGATAAAATGTGAAAGGGACATTTTCAATACCTAATCGTCCTCATGCACCAAACAATTTAAGCGGCCTTAATTCACAGATTTAAGAATTTTCTCTTTAATTTGTTAGCCCTGATAGTTTCTGAGAAACTAATTCAATAATTTCAATGTAAACACTCTACCTACTCAGGTGTACATGGCGCATGAGGAACACTGTTTTATGCTCATATTTCATACAAAAAATTCTTGCACAGTTTCCTTGCTTTCTTATTTATATATTGATTTTACTCATTAGTAGCTTAGTTTTTTCATGTGCAAACAAGCTGTTTTTTTTTTTAATTTTTTCCCTGTTAAAGTTTGAATTTTCTCCATTTTTTAATAAAAAAAACAAAAAATATCTGGAAAACGTATCCATAAAAAAATAACTCGATTTTTGGAATCAGCGAGCGATTCTAGATACAAATTGGATAGTGGCGTCTGGAGCACAAAAACAAAATTAAAATTTGTGAGCCAGTGTAGTTAATATCTTATCTTGAAAAAGTTTGAATTTTACATTAAATTCGATAACCAGTTGCCAAAATCCTCGTTTTTCGATTAATAAATTTTTAAAGAGCATATTTTACAATTTTGACAGACAAAATGTAAGCTCGGGTTACGCTAAACACAGGAAGTTTGCGCAAAATACCTTTCCGCGTTGTAGGCCTTCGGCCGCGCTTAGAAAAAATAACCCTTCAAGTCCGCCTAAGCTGACCACAGTATTTTTTACAAAAAAGTCCACATTTCAAAACGAATTTATTAATAAATTTGTACTCGAAAATTTGAAATCTTTATTTTAAGCTAATGTTTAATCGTTTGAGCACACGTGTATGTTAAATTTTTTTGATTCGGGTTACGCGTTTGGGCACAATGGGCAATTGCTTTGTCTTAAAATTTCTTTCCCTTCTCTTTTGTTTATTTGAACAAGTCAAGTAAAAGGTCTGTAATTTTCAAAAAAAAAGCATTTGCTTCTGTTTTATGCATACGGCCCAATAAACCAAAATTATTGCACAAATAACCGAACCGTACCCAATAAAATACCTTCTGCTTATTCAAATTTCGATTCTACGAACAAAATGTTTTTAAATTAACAAAAAATTAATAATATAATTTGAAGAATTTTAGATACTGGGTATGATAGCACGAAATGTCAGAATCTGCTTAATTGTCAGGATGTTAATATGGCGACCAAAAAAGTGACGATGGAACTACCTTCGTATCATGATGTAATAATTTTAAGAAGGTAGTTTTACTTCAAAATTTTTGATATAAACCGTTTCTGTGGCAAGCACGCAATGTGGCCATTGCTACGATATAGAATTGGGGATTTTCGCTTGTTATTTTAGATGTTTTTAACAGAACATGTAAAGATTTATATATTTCATAGCTGATCATTTCTTTTTAATATATATATACGTATTTAATACATACATTCTTGCCAATGCTAATCACGAGGGAACTTTTTTTATGGAAATTGCCTTTTTTTCTGCTAAAGAGATAGAGTATACATATTCGATTAAGAATGCCCACGATTTAGCTTTCCCTGATTCCTGATTTTTTTTGCCTTTTTTAAGATATTTGCCTTTTCTACCTTTAAAAAAGCGATTATAGCATTTACAATATTTTTTTAAAGATTAAAAAATATTCACATCTATTTTGTTTTGCCTTTTCTGCAATACCTAATGCCTTTTCCTGCTTTTTTCGCTATTTAATTTTGCCTTTTCCAGCCTATTTTGTTATTTTATTTTGCCTTTTTTTATAGGTTTTTAGGTCCTGAAAATCCGTTTCCTGCTAATCACATGAATAAAAGCCATAAAAAACGAAAATGCGACGGCAATATTTCTTGTTTAAAATGTTTTAGATCCATCGCACTGCACAAACTGACGGCCGCCGTTTTAGTTGGGCTCGATAGTCTTTCCATTGCACCACAACTAATTGGTTTGAGTGATTAAGTTGGTGTAGTGTGCGCACCTCGATACATCTTCATGTACATATTTCAAGCGAGCCCTACTATTTAAATAGGCGGCCGATAAGTCTGTGGGTGCGGTTAATTTTTTCATAATTTTTTATAAAGCAAATTATTAAAAAATATTAGAATATTTCTCTACTTAAGTATATATTTGGCTTTCCTTTGTTCCAACGTCAACGCATTTTCTGTCAGATAGCTAACATGGCGGATAAGAAGAAGTGAAACTATGTACCTTCTAAAAGTTATTGTATCATGCTTGGAACTAGAGATGGGCACGGGCCTAAATTTTCAGGCCCGGCCCGGCACGAGTACGAAATCAACTTTCAAATACACGCACGAGCTCGCACGTTAAGAACTTTAGTGGGGCCGGGTCGGGCCGGCACGACGGGACACGTCCCAGTCCGGAAATAAAGAGCCAACTTTTATTGTATGCATGCATACATATGTATGTATATATTTTTAATTTTGTGTTTAATTGTGTCAATTTTTTGCATCAAAGATTTATATAAAATATTTTCTGGGAAGTAGAAGAAGTGGAAGGTATTCTAGGTACAAAACTACTAAGTATCTTATTTTTTCTATCGGTTTCCAAATATTTCTTTTTTTTGCTTTTCTATTATCAAAAGAGTTTTAATATGTACTATTTTTTTTTTGTATAAAAACAAAAGCTTATCTAAATTTGTAGTATTAGCAACGGGCTTTTTCGTGCCCATCTCTACTTGGAACTACCGACAAGTAAGTTTTTTTTTTAATCACAGAATGCGGCTCGATTGAAAATCGGGTTGCCGAAAGGCGAAATCTCTTGAATGTGGCAGGCACTGAAATTTGCGGAAAATTTTGTGTACCGTAATATGAAACTTCTAGTGTGGTTTACCATGGTAAATCTACACGTCCGCGTACTGAACTAACAAAGGTTGTGAGAAATAGGATTCGTTTAAATCAATACTTATGAAATAATCCCCTAGACTTAAATTCGGTGTAATATATATATACTCCTACTCCTAATCCTACTTTCTGCAGTTGCTTTTTTCCTCAGCGCTAAAAGCATTGTCGGTCGGTGTTATTAATGCAATAAAAAGGTGCATAATCTAAAGTAAAACGTAGCCAAACATAACCATTTTTTTTTTAGTTTGTCACGCCCTTTTAGCTAACAAGCGATATTTATTGTAGTATTTCTACTTTTAAAATAAATATGTACCTATCGATGGTCCTGTGTAATAACGACACAATCCAAAAAAAAAATAAAAAAATACAAAAAATTAAAAACTTACTACTTTTAAGTGGCTCATGCCTCTAATCCATGTTTAACCTTTTGTACTTACTTTTGCGATCCTTACTGCTTACCTTAGTAAGGGATGGAAATGGATTAGACAAAGATTAGAGACAAGTGCCACTTAACAGTAGTAACGTTTTTGTTTTTTTGAATTTTGAATTGTGTCGTTATTGCACAGGACCGTCGATATGTATGTATGTAACTTGAAATATTATTTTTCAGGGTTCGTATTTGCACACACATGCTCTGCTCACACACACGCCAGAAAAACATTCAACTTGCACTCACTGCTCATACACATGTGTGTGCATAAGTGGAAAATAAACTCTACTCACAGAAAAGTGTGTGCTGTTTGTTATTAAGCACATGCACATGTGTGTGAGCCGATTTTTGTACAAATTTCAGCCCATGCACATGCACATAATATATTCTTAAAAGAATTTGTTTATAAACGTTATTTTTTGAAAGACAATTCAATAAAAAGTGAGTTGTTGTTTGTTTTTTATATGACAGAAAACATATTAAAAAATTGTTTTAAGATTTGAGTTAGAATTCGAAGTGTATAAGTTTCTCTACGCATAGCACACACATGTGCGTGTGCTTTACATTAATAAAAAGAAAGTACACACATGTGTCCGTGCTTTTTACCAAACGGCACACACATGTGATGTGAGCAAATTTTTAATTTTTTATATGCACAGCACACGTGTGTGAGCGTAAAATGTTAGGATGTGCTGCACATGTGTGTGCAAATACGAACCCTGTTATTTTTACAGATGCAATGCTACTAATGAATATTTACGGAATACCCGGTTTAGGGTTAATATATGTTCTCTCATTATTCTTCTATTGGACAATGTGGTCTGCGTTTCTAATAACGGTTATAATACAAATTATTACAGGTAGAACTTAACATTTCGTTAAATGTAAATATCGCTCATTTACCAAAAAAAAAAAACTGTCGCAACTCAAAAACCGAAATTTTTGAGCAAATACTCGTTATATAATGCTTCAGATCATGAACGAACGATTGGTTCGTGGCTTCATTGTGTCGTGTACGCGTAAAAAGATCGTATGCTTCTCTTTTATTCTACATTTTGTTGAAAACTTTTAACGCGTCGCATGAAAATTTTTTAGCTTTTTTCGTTGTGACAGTCTTTAACAGTCAGTTTCACGAAAGCAATTTATGTAAGTGAAAAATAATTTAAATTTTTGGAATTTTATATGGAAGTTGACAAAAAATAAAAATAATTTTCCATTTAAATTGCTGGTGAAACCGGGTGTTAATAAATGAGCGATATCTACTATGTACATACATATCTGTGTTCGTATGGAATAGTATGTCGGGATGCTGGCTTTAGTATAATGCGGCTTTTCCCTTTATTCCTTAAAAGGAAGGAATCTTTTGATAAGACTTAATAAGAATATTGATTTGCTAGTATCGGAACTATTTCTTGCACGTTTATTTTCCAAAAGTTCTTCAACGGCTCGACGCCAGTGAGTCATTCGCAATCGTATGCTGCGAATGCCGCATTATACTAAAGCCAGGCTTTCGACATACATACATATGGAAGCTACTATTCCATACGAACGCAGATATGTAAGTATGTACATCTTCTTCTTGATTGGCGCTATACATATGTATGTACTTATAAAAATAATGGCAATTTTGCAGGCATATTTTCGTATCTTATTTATTGGGATGTCCTGGAAAACAATGAGATATTCTTTTATATTTGGTCAATATTTCCTACTTTTTCGTTGATGGAAGGCATAAGCAACGTATATACCCAAACCAAGGAGGAACTGTATTGTGATCAGGCATGTATGGAGGATGACGACTGTGATAAATACGATATGTGCGCTGCGCTGCCGCAATGTTGTCGTAAGTACCGAATAACTCTTGCATCTTGCCGTTTATTTAATTGTGGTGATTTCATTTCTACCAAAAAAGTTGTTTGCCAGGCAAGGGCAAAATTTTTTGGAAGAAACGAAATCACCATTACACAATTCATTGTTTTATTAATCAATAGTTATAGTTTAGAATGTTAAGATTAGATTTAAGCACTAGATTTAACTTTAGTTATGTTTAAGTTAAATAGTTTTAAGTTTACCGAAAGAGAAATTCTGCGTGCTTTTTACCCGGCCTATCTTCAGCTAAATTAATTTTTATTGGTTTAAATTTTGATTAGCAAGGTACCATTTTTTTCGTTTTTCGATATTGTCGTACATATTGAAAACCATATAATACGTAACATAACGTTCTGAATCCCAAAAGTGACACTGAAGATGGTACAATGCCGAAACCGGCTTGTTTAAAAGGAAAAGGCAAGGGGTGACGGAAATTCATTCCAAAATACAGTAATTAAGTATGTTTGGCGACAAATGAGCAGGAACCCTTATAGCCTATTTCCACCAGAGGCTTAACTGCAGCTAAGAGCTCAGATAAGTTCCAAGAATTTCAACATGGGGTGACCGGCAAGGTTTATTTCTTAGTGTTTGCTTTTCTCCTTTCGTTTGCTTGTACTTATGTAGTAGGAGGAATTATCCCCTTCGAGTTGTAGTCTCCTTGATCCAATAGGCACAAAACTGCAGTTAAGACGTGGTGGAAATGAATTTTTAGTCCTCGATCTCTTTATGGATAGGTACATACTTACATACATACATACATACATATGCATCTATTTTTTATCTTTACGCTTTTACAGTTACAAGTATTATCAAATTTGACGATCCCGGGATTTTATTATCAATTTGCTTTATGCTAACGTCTGCAGTATTTCTTTTTATTGCACTTTGCCTCATTGAATCAAGAAGAGCACGAAAGCGATTCTCATCGAAAAAAGAGTAAGCGTTTCGTTTTCTGGTTGATTAATAGAAAATGCCCATCAGTTTGATTCACTTTTTTAGCGTTAAATCGCTTCATTCTGCAACACATCCTTACGATGACGACGATGTAATGAAATTGAAACAATTTATAGCCCAGCAAGACTTGCAAAGTAGTCTTAAAAAACGATTTATGGTTGATCAGCTGGAATACGAAATACAAAAAACAACGAACTCATTGAATACAATTTCATTTCTGGCTGAAGAGTAAGTGAAAGTAAAATCCTTTATATTACTCGGTGTTATTAATACATACTATGTATGTATGTATTTACTCCTACGTAAATACGTACGTCGTAAACTGAAATGCAAATAGAAGTAACTAACATTTTCACATGGAACTCAAAAGGCCTAATTAACAAAAATTTCACTTTTTGATTGATATGATGCATTTCATCAAATTACAACTTCTCACATCCTTTCATGCAAAAAAAAAAATATTAGTTACGACTTTTGGCATTACAGTGAAGATCTTGGTTACGGCTTATATCGTCGTGAAAAGTTGGGCCTATTTTATTTTGAAATAGAAGAAATCGTAATAGAAATGGAAGAAATTGTTAAAGATAACAGTAAATACCGAAAAACAGTTGATTTCAGCTATAGGCATTTTTCAACAATCAGATGATAGTGTTTTACTTAGGAGGCTATACGATGGTATGTGCATTAGGGTGGTCCAAAAATGCATGTGTAAAAGTAAAGTCGGAATTTTTATGCCCTCACCCCCTAGGATTGTTCTGTACCGAAAGAAATATACTCTTATTTTTTATTTTGAAATCCAAAGATATTTAGATGTCGTTCAAAGCGCCAAATTGAAGCACAAATTTTAAATAGCTCATAAAAAACTTTCGTGCGGTGAATTAACACTGAAACTAAGTACATACTTTTATCGGTGAAGTTCCACCTTCTGCTACTGTAAAATACCTGCAAGATTTTATTCCAGAAAATATCGAAGCGCATCAATTTTTCTAATTATTTACAATAAAAAAAAAAATTATATAAAACATGTGAGAAATTAAACTCTCTACAAATTTGTATTGAACCATTTTTTACGAAAAATGCATGATTAGCTTACAAAACGCAAAAAACCAAAAAAAAAACATAAAATCCAAGAACAGCTATTTTTTCTTTTTAGAAAAATTCTAATTTTAGTGGGCTCTGAATGAATTAATTTTTTACGTTTTTGGCTACTTGACGGTTGACGTTGTTGTCGTTCTTCATGCAGCTTTTTGGTAGGGTATGGCTAACTTCTGAGTGCATTTTCGAATGTCTTCTCAAAAACGAAAATTCCGATTAAACTGAATTAAATTTTCAAATAGTTTTAAGCTTCAAAAGTCGATCAGTGATTCGAAGTGAGACTGCATAAGCAGAAATGGTATATCTGCGATGGTTGCAACCGAATAATACCACTATTAATATGAATTAAAAAAATGTTCACCATCCGTGGAAGCTTTTTTATGTTAGAGATACCACACTCAATTTTGGGTGAAAGAACAACGACGACAAATCGACTTTTATATCCAGAGATGGCATCAAAAAAACAAAAATAAATAAATACTTATTAAAGCCGCAAAAACTGATTTGGTTTCTAACAGTGAAGTTAAAGCTAAGCATTGTAATAATGATACTAAACTGTCATCAAAAAACATCTTCCAGGGGTCAAAGCCTAGCAATATATGGCACATGTCATAGCGGTAAAACATTTTTAGCCGGACAGCTTGTTGGTCAAAACAAATTCGCATTCGGCGATATATTCGTTGATGGAACCGAACTAAAATATGAGTTGAAAAAAGCGCTTAAAAAAATGGCATACGCGCCACAAGACCATGGACTATGGCCAAGTTTTACGCCTCGTGAGATTTTGCGTTTCTTTTGTATGCTGCGCGGTATTGAACAGAAAGATATTAGAGGGATTTTACGTGACCTCTCCCACGCTTTCATCATGAGTTCTTATATGGACAAGAGGATTCGCACACTTAGCTATGATCGACGACGCAAGGTCAACATAGCACTCGCAATGATTGCTCAACCAAAGATTATAGTTTTGGATGAACCCACACGCGGACTTTCACCACATACTTGTCGTGAAATATGGAATGTTCTGCGCTATAAACGTTTCTTAGGTAAAACGCTTGTGTTCACAACATCAAACGCTGTTGAGTTGGACGCATTATCCGATCGTGTGCTTATATACAACGAAGGCGAGATGTTGGCAATTGGTAATACTCAATATCTACGCAGCAGATATACGAAAGGCTTTTACCTATATGTAAAATTAAGAATTGATGGAGTTACAACTGCAGAAGCCAAAGAGAAGTAAATTTCAACTCATTAAATACTAATCGATTTGTGTTCACAAAAACATAATATTTATGTACATACATATGTACATACATATGAATTTGTTGTTTTACAGCTTACATAAGGATTCCGAAAATTTAATTCGTTTTGTGACTTTCTTGCATGAAGATTCTGAATTACAGTTAAGCGAAATTACCCTATTTTACTCAATGGAAAATTATTATGTATGCCTTTTGTGCTTTTAGGGAGCGAATCGATAATTGCTTTAAATTTTATTTGCCAGTCCCAATTGTTAGTTACTCGTTTTTATATGGATCCATGGAAAAAAATAAGAGACGTTTGAATATTGCAGATTACAGCGTAAGCCAAGGAACACTTCAAGACGTTTTCAATACGATCGAAACAACTCGAAAAAAACAAGAATAAGGCGCTGTTTAAGTATGTTTTAGAACTTTCATGAAATTAAATTCAATGTTGTATGTGTACATACTATAAATTTATGCATGTTAAATACTAATGATAATAACTTCAATATCGTAAATATTAAAAGAAAAAATTGTTAATTAGTAAAACTATATTACTTCAGAGAAGTGTGAATCGGACAGGGTCTGCAATTCGCTTCCGAGTGAATTTCAACCCCTGCCAATTTAAATTCAAAGCGCAAATTCACTCGAAAGTGAATTGCAGAACCTGCCAGAACATGATTTCAAAGCCCTTTGAAAAGAAGCTTGAGTTTTATAATTTTGGGTTGTAGCTGTATATATTCTTTTATGTTGTTATTGCATAAAAATTTCCTGAACGTTGCCAGTCCTTTGCCATCCATATGCGTAGTTCCGGTATAAATTCTTCATTCAGTTTTTCCTTTACAAAATTTTCAGTATGGACCTGTTAATACATATCGGGAATCATTTTAACAAAGGGAATTATTTCTAAGTTTTAATTTTGTAGTTTATATACAAATAACAGATGCATAGACACATATCTTCGCCATTTTTGGGGAGTTTAGTTATCTGTTAGACTGAACATATTGTCATTGTCCTGCTTATTAATTGTAAATTACCGGTTATATGGGAGGTGGGCATGGTTATTGCCTAACTTCAAAAATGGTAAAAAGATTTTTGTTACACTCTTAGCAATGTTCGTACCGAATTCGGGAAAGATTGGTAGAGCGCCTTCTGAGATACAGCATTTCATCATAAGTAGGTGGGTGGGGCCACACCCATTTTGCAAGAAATTTTTAATTTTCTAGTTTAGTTCGGAGGCGTTGTAAAACTGTAGCTCGCTACATTTGTGTGATAAAAGCAAGACGGGAAGACAAATAGGAGGAAGAGGCCACCCAAACACGTAGCAAAAGTATGAGCGCCAAATATTTACACTGCTGATTAAGTCTTCAACATTTTGATAAATTTTAGCTATTTTTCTTTCGTTTAATTAATGTTGTTTATTATTTTTCCATAAAAGTCTGCCTCATTATATAACAAACACCATATAAATCCACATTTCAAACTTTGTGCAAAAATTATAAAAAAATCTGCAAAGTTTCAGCTGAATTTTGAACTTTTTATTCAGATTTTTTAGATTTTTTTTGAGTATGCAGTCTAATAGCCCATTAAATTCTAGGGTAATAATGTGCAGGTGTTAAATAGCTAAAGAATGGCATTGATTTTTATTAATTTTTTTCTGACTGCATTATAAATTTTTTTCCATACAAAATATATTCGCCAATTTTTTTTTATGGAAAAATTGCGTCGTGCAGTCAGAAAAAAAAAATTATTAAAAGTCAACGCGATTCTTTAGCAACTTAAAACTTCCACATTATTACCGTAGAATTTAATGGTTAATAGCCCACTGCATACTCAAAAAAAAAACACTCTTAAACAAAAAGCCTTGGAAACCATGATATTTTTGTATTAGATCGAGTAAGAACAATATAATATATTATGCTTCTAATGAGCCAATTGCGAGAGCGATGAAGAAGTTTAATACGCTCACAAATTCTGCCGACACTGATTTTTCATTACCTAAACCTAGGTTTAAGCAGTTACTGAATGAACTAGTTTAATTAGTAATTACATTGCAATTGTTAAGTCTACATCGATTGCTGTGTGGAAGATCGACCAATCTCGGCAGCCAGCTCGAAAGCGCTCTATCTCAGAAAACTTTTCAAGAACGTCCTATTCAGAATTCGTTTCAAAAACGCCCTATCTCAGCTGCCGATTCAAAAACGCCCTATATCAGCACATTTTCAATACATTTTGAAGTGAGATAGGTCATTTTCGAACCGCATTCTGAGATATGTTGTTTTTCAATAAAATTCTGAAATAGGTCGTTCTTGAAAAGTTTTTTGAGATAGCGCGTTTTCGAGCTCGCTACCGAGATAGGTCGATCTTCCACTCAGCAGTCGAAATAGTATGGAAGGAAATGTTTATATTTTCTAGATTATAGATGCAAATAAATAAAATTTAGCTGAAACTTTTGAGATTTTTTATAATTTTTGCACAAAGTTTGAAATGTGAAGTTATGTGGTGTTTGTCGAAAAACCTGAAATCGAGAAAAAAGTTTTAAGCATTTGGATTGTAATGTTAGCCTTATGGGGAAACAAAAATATTTTCGTCTATAACTTTTCAAATAGCCTAGCTGGCGAGATGATGAGTTCACACAGGCATGGAATAGTCGTTGCAGAATATGATAGCATAGCAAGTATATATTCTTTCAGAAAGAAAAGGCGGCTTTGGCTATTTTTAGCATTTTTAAATTGATACAAAAATCAAGAAATTCAATATTTCAAACTAGGCAGTGTAATTACAAACTTTCTTTGTATAGCGACCGCCCCGGCCCAATACGTACATTCCTATTTTATTATATCGTATATGGTTAGCTGAGGCGTTGGAACTAAAAAGCATCAAAAATTTTCAACAAAAAGAATCCATTTAAAAGCAATGCATTATTATTTCCATAAGCTAATAACGTTAAATGACAAATCGACTATACATTCACGAAATAAATGCTACACAATTTCTAACGTTATTACAATCACTCCATTTTTTAATATTTATATCATTATTATTATAAATGTAATCAAAATGTTAACACAACTAGGCTGTGTCGTGTATATTCAAACGAAAGATGTCATGTGCACAGAAAAATGTACCGCCGAGTGGCCTCAAAACGAAGACTTGCGAGAAAGCATGTGGTGGATCCTCATCACACTGCAAATAGAAAGAAAAGGTAAATTATAGATAAGCGTCTAAACTGAAGGACATACATACATATGTACTTATAACGGTAAAATTATTTTATCAAGCAAACATTTACAAAATTAGTTAGAAATAAAAATATAATTTCAGTGCAGAAAATTTAAATGTAAATACATACAAACATACACTTGTGGTCAGCTGATTAGGTTAAGTGACATTGTGACCAGTTTTGCATATTTTTATTTTGTTTATTTAATGAATTTTATAAAATTGTATAAAAGTCTAGCACATTAAACAACCAGCACCACATAAATACTCCTTTCAATCTTCGTATACAAATTCAACTAACTTTAACAATTGCACCCAAATATTTTAAACTTTTCATTCAGACTTTTTAAATAAATTTAAAGTACGCAGTTTTATAGCCCACCAAATTTTAGTAGGTTAAAGTGCAAATTTCAAGAAGTTAGAATATGTCATTGATTTTTAATGATTTCTTTGTTGACGGTTTTCTTCGATATGAAACTAATTGTAGAGCCAGCGTCAGCAAAAAAAATTATTAAAAATCAAAGTTTACAATTTTTGGGTGTACTTGTTACTATTTGTTGAATTTTTTTATATTTTTTACGAAGTTTGAAATGTGGATTTACGTGGTGCTGGTTATGATAGATTTTTATAAAAAAAAAAAATTATAAGCATTAAATAGACAAAAGAAAAATAGCCAGAACTGGTCAAAATGTCACTTAACTTAATCAGTTGACCACAAGGGTACACATATATGTACATATGTACTTTTTCAAAACTCAATCGTCAGTACATCTAGTTTTTAAAATACTACTATACAGCGAACTGCTATTAGTGAATTAACAATTAAAACATAAAAGCTGTTTGGTACTACCAAGTTATACATACAAACATGTCGTTTACCTTAATTCACAAAGGCCCTAACCAATAAAAAAAAGAGTACCAAAATAGGTAGGGATTTTTAAGGGGCTTATTATATCTCTGTTGTTTTTGGTACTAACACTTTAAAATTTTTATTGAAGGTGTAAATTTAGTCCTTGCTACCAAAATCTACACAGCTACACAGTTTCGAAAAAGGGCGAAAGTTAGGGCCTTTGTGAATTAAAGTAACGATATGTAATTATTCTGGCAGTTACCTTTGTGATAAATATTAGTAACGTTTTTAATATATATTTTTGGGCATGTTACAATATCTTTTAGTCTCATTTAAAATGTGTAAAGCTTTTTTATTAAAATGTATTCTCCCAAAGCTTCTGCGCACATTCATATACACTTGTTATCAGCTAATTAAGCCAGCAACATTTTGATCGATTTTGGGTATTTTTACCTCGCTTTTATTAGCTTGGAATGTAACTAATGTAATATAATGGTGTGCCTAAAAGATGCAGCAATTTCCAGTAATGACAGTACGTATGTAAATTGCGTTTAATTGCCATTTTAAAGTTACGTGATGACAGTACGAATGAAAATTCCAAAGATTGATGTCGCGTGTTATTCTATTCCTTATAATAGTTTTAAAATCAATTGAATTTAAGACTAAAAAGATCAAAATAAAATTATGTATAGTTAAAAACTAATAAATAAAAAAAATAAAATTTTTTTAAAATACCACGCTTTTACAAATGGACTAAAAAAAAAAAAAAAACAATTCTCAGTCCCATAGAATTTGTTTTTGATACCTTTTGATTTTGAAATTTTAGCAAAAGTCATTATAAACAATTTATGAGATTGAAAACGAAAAACGTGGAGCGCATGCAATACAAAGAATTAGATTTAATTGACAATAGTCAAACTATATAACATAGACCTAAAATTTCTACAGCGCAAGTACAAAATTTGAGATCGATTTTAAGTGATCGTTATTCATATATCCACATATGTATGTACATACATACATATATTACTTTTCATATCAATTCAAGTCTATTACATGCGCCGCACGCTTTAATTTAATTTATTTAAAAAAATCTGGTCAAAAAGTTGAAAATTCAGATGAAACTTTTCAGATTTTTTTTATAATTTTTGCACAAAGTTTGAAATGTGGATTTATATGGTGTTTGTTATATGAGCTAGACTTATGAAAAAAATAATAATAAACAAAACAAAAAGAAAATAGTCAAAATTGATCAGAACGTTGCTGGCTTAATTAGCTGTTCACAAGTGTACATATCGTTCCAATGAGCTACATATTTAAAAAGCTTTACAACCACATTTTGCTAGTAAAAAAGTGAGGATGTTAACACCACATACATATCG